TTCCTCTTTGCACTTACCAGCTGATCACTTACCTTTATATGGATGGCTTTCCCGCTGTTATCAGTTTTAGGGATGCACCGATATGTATTTTTTGGCCGATACCGATAACCGATAATTCTTCACACTTGGAGACTGATAGCTGATATGTATAGGCCGATAATTATAAATATTTCAAAATGTTATATTTTTAAACAGCAAACTTCTTAAAAGATTGAACTGCTCTTATGAACTGAATAGTCTATACTCAGAGCAAAAAAGCTATCATTTCAAAATTGCAAGGTGATTATAGACCTATATTCACGATTTCACATAAATCAGCATGCAAAAAATTATTTCCTTTTCTTCATAGCAAATTAACATGCAACTTGACTGTTGCATAAAATTAATAGGTTAAATAACAAAATGGGATTTAATTAACAAGCAAGTTAAATATATTTAAATAAGATGAAAATGAAAGAGCTAAGGACTGAAACCAGCTCAAATGGTCTTGAATAAAACGTGTTACAGTGATGTACACATGTACAAATATGTCATGTCCAAAAATGCCTTCTTTTAGGGGTGTTTTGACAGTTTAGAGCCACCGTACTAGCGAAAAGTTAGATACAGATAGTATGTTCTAGTTTGTTTAGAAAATGCGGCACAGATGCACAGCAATACCACATGAAGAAAGGACAGACTTTGAAGGAATGAACAGTGTGAGCTCTATTTTAGTGCACTGGGCAAGTCTGAACAAGTTCCGCCCACACGAGCGCGGCAGGCAGGTCTGTAAAATGACGTAATTTATCAGTTTAAAGATATTGGCCTAATTTAGACATCGGATCGATAACGATAATCTTAAAAATAGCATGTATCGGCCGATAAGGATATGGCCGCCAATATATCATGCATCCCTAATTAGTTTGTTCAGTTAGCTCGCCATGTACGTCGGCAGACTTGAGACGCAGAAAGGAGTTAACCAGTACAACAGGGTTAGAGTCTGGTGAAGAACGATTCCAGAAAGCGAGTAAGGAAAAAACAATACCAAAAAAATTAAATAAACAAATAAATATCAGGGTAAGAATGTGGTAAAAATCAGTTGAAGGCTTTTCTTTTTCTCGATTGCTTTTTAAAACTGTTGGTTGGGTTTAGGGAAGTGGATGAGCGGGTCAGTTGGTGCATTCAAAAATACTATTGGTTGTAGGGCTGCTCGATTATTGGGAAAATCATAATCCTGATTATTTTGGTCATAATTGTAATCACGATTATTCAAAACGATTATCAGTTGAAGTCAAAATTATTCGCCCTTCAGAGAATTTATTTTTATATACAAATATTTCCCAAATTATGTTTAACAAAGCAATTTTATTACAGTATTTCCTATAATATTTTTTTTTCTGGAGAAAGCCTTATTTTTTTATTTCAGCTAGAAAAAAAATCAGGTTTAAATATTTTGAAACCTATTTTAATAGCTCAATATTATTAGCCCCCTTAAGCAATATATATTTTTGATTGTCTGCAGAAGAAACTACATAATGACTTACACAATGACTTGCCTATTTACTCTAATTAAGCCTTTAAATGTCACTTTAAGCTGAATACTAGTATCTTGAAAAATATCTAATAAAATATAATGTGCTGTCATCATAGCAAAGATAAAAGAAATCAGTTATTAGAAATGAGCTATTAAATCTGTTTAAACAGTGTTTAAAGCATCTTCACTGTAAGAAAAAAAGTCCTTCAGTGAAGAGCAGCGAGTGGATTTTGTCCTTTTGTTGTTTGATTAATAATAAAAACAGCAGCAGGAATATCGCACGCTGTCACTTTAAGAATAGTGCGGCTCCGATATGGTTTCTCTTTAACGTGTCTTTTGATTCTCAACTTGTTTGTTTATTACACAAATGAGGATTAATATGAATAATCACTAAACACCGTGCATGTATTTGACCATTAAAGCGCTCGCATTAGGATGGCGTTAGATGTGCGTGTGCTCTGCTGTCTGAGGCTAAGCGCGGACCGCGCGCACACAGACACACACAAACACACACACAATACCTGCCCGAGGCTAAGCGCAGCGCGCACACACACAACAGTACGTGCTCTTTCGCGCTTTTAAAAATGAATGATGCGCATCCCATGCTGCAAAAGTTACATTACAGCACATCTTTCAGTCACTTTCACGTGGAACTGGAAAGGAGGCGGTATATGATGGATTAATCATTTATCTCGATTAATGGGTTTTCATAATCGTTATGAGCCATAATCGAAATCGAAACCGGATTTTCGATTAATTGCACAGCCCTAATTGGTTAGGTTTAGGGAAGTGGGTGAGCTGGTCAATTGGTGCATTTGAAAATACTATTGGTTGGGTTTAGGGAAGGAGGAGTCTGAGTCAATCTGTCAGTCAGTCAGTCAAACTGTCAGTCTACAGCAGCCTCTGTTGGATTTACGCGAGAATACCAGGCGCGAATAGTTCTTGCGAGAGAAATTTGACAAACATGGCATCCTCTGGTAGATTTGCGAAAACAAAAACTAAACAAATTTAGCTCCTGGGACATATTTGATGCTCTCCAGTTTTCAGAATGAGCATGAGTTAACATCATTAGTTACAGTCTTCATGTTTTACAATTTTTAAATAATTTTTGCCATTAAAATACATTTTTACTGTAATAGTGTGCAGAAAAATTAAGCTAATATAGTAGCATTGCTTAGATTTTGAGAGAGCCTGATGTTTGAGCTCTAATTAAGATCTTGAAACTTTGATAGTAGAGTGGTATCTTGTCAAAGCAGGGCATAATGAGTTGAAATATCTTCAAAAGCTGAAGAAGGAAAATGTCAGGGGTCTTTTTCTCAAGAGAAATGTCTGTAAAGCAAGAGATGCAAGAGAAGGTTTCCATTGCTCCACATTCATTCTCATTACTGTTTGAGAGAAACAAGACTGTATTGTCTAGATCTGCATTGTTGATTAATCTTATCCTATCTTGTTGATGAATCTTGTCTTGTTCTGCTTTGACTGTTTTTGAATGTAAAATCACATGTAAAGCTAAGCTGTGTGCTCTCTTTTGGACAGTTGACTCATGTACTTTGACATTGACTGAGGCAAGATGTGCATATTAGGCTTGTTGTTATCCTAGTCTTCTTAAAGTCATGTTGCAACATGTCTGTGCTCGTGGGCAACATTTGATGGGCCTGAATAGATTGCCACTGATTTGAAATGTTCTTCATTTGAGATGATTTCAAACAGCGGTGTGATTCACATTTAAACACAAATGAAAGCATTCCCAAACCCACTGACATCAGAAACAATACTTCTTCTCTGCCTAATAAAAATACTCACCTTAATGGTTTTATTTTTGCTCTACATAATTTTAGTAGACCTGATTCTAAATGTAGGCATGTGAATAATTATAAAGTCTATTTATGCACCAAGCTGTTTTAATTGTAGGCCCATGCACTGAAGTCTGGCTTACTGTTAAGTTGGGCTAAGAGATGTGTTGCATATTCATCTTTTTTATGTAATTAAAAAACATTTCAATATTATGAATAATAATTCATTCATCCATTTTGTTGTCGGCTTAGTCCCTTTATTAATCCGGGGTCGCCACAGCGGAATGAACCGCCAACTTATCCAGCAAGTTTTTACGCAGTGGATGCCCTTCCAGCCACAACCCATCTATGGGAAACATCCACACACATTCACACACACACTCATACACTACGGACAATTTAGCCTACCCAATTAACCTGTACCACATGTCTTTGGACTGTGGGGGAAACCGGAGCACGCAAACGCAGAGGGAACATGCAAACTCCACACAGAAACGCCAGCTGAGCCGAGGCTCGAACCAGTGACCCAGCGACCTCCTTGATGTGAGGTAACAGCACTACCTACTGCGCCACTGCTTCGCCCATGAATAATAATATTATTTATTATTATTACCTATATTATTCTTTTTCTACTTCTTCTTCTTATTATTATTATTAATATTATTATTATTATTAATATTCAGTTGTACTCTACTACCATGATGATCTCTGTCTAGCTGAAGCCACACATTTTCATATTTATTCATATGCAAATGGCATTACCCAAGTCCATCATTTCAACGAACATTTGCAAACTGCGTCTCAAACTTCTACGCTTGTAACTGCACCAGTAGAGCTGTAGTTAGAAGCATAGTTGCTGGTTGTGTTCCAGTTATCCCCCACTGTAAGCCCGGACAGGTTGATTGAACTTAAAAAATTTATGGAAACCCGCTGCCCTAAAAAATCTAATTTTATCTCGTTGAAAAAACAACACTTTTTAAGTTTATTGTACTTAAGATTTCAAATGCATTTAATTAAATATTTAGTTGACTGAAATAAAGGTTTTTAGTACAACAATATTTAAATCTTAGGTACAATAAACCTAAAAAGTATTGTTTTTTCAACAAGACGAAATTAGCTTTTTTAGGGCAGCGAGTTTCCATAAATTTTTTAAGTTCAATCAACCTGTATAAACTTAAAACATAAAATCTTGACCTGAATGTTATGACAGAAATAATTTTAACCTTAGCTATTCACAATAAATGATTTAATGAAAATACCCCTAATTACAAACAAGGACAAAGAATAAAAATTTACTTTACAGTTTATTTAAAATCATTTAGAAATATCACTCCGAAACAAGTGACAAAACTAGAAAATGCCTTGTATAACAATTAGTCAATATTTATTGTTATAAATCTTATTAAAACACTTGTTTAAAATATTTTAATACATTTTTACAAACATATCCAAAAAATAAACAACCACAGGATGTTATTACATTGTAACATTATGGAATATTTACACTTGCCAAACACTAAAGCATAGTTTTAATTTTTTTATCTCACAGTTAGGACAGCAAGCCTGAAGGAACATGCCTTTTCTGTACCAGTTTACATGACAAGTTGATTTTTAACAGCCAGAATCTTACCCTTCAGCATCTTCTTACCCAAACTTGTTGAATAAAAAGAAGAGTATTGTCCATGCATTTCGTGTAGCCTAGGTGCAGTGCATAGGTTGATCCAAAAAGACACTTGGCCTGGGGTATATTGTCTATATTGTCCATTACAACATTTCCCTCCAAGATGATTCCCAGAGAATGGGTGGAGGTGGAAGGACAGGGGTTGCAGAGCCAAATCTGTCCAGTGAATCCTCTCTTTGACCTGAAGATCTGAATCAGCTGTGGGCAGTGATGATCAAGAGACCAATATAATTCTTGCTTAATATACACACTATCTGGTTGAACTCTTGATACACCTGTAGTAGTAAAACACAAAAAAGTTTATTAACATCAGAGAAATGTCAAAATTAAACAACTGTCAAATTAGCATGTTATCATGTTTATCAATACTGTACTCATTTCATTACAAATACATTCCTGATATATGCATGGAAATGGCTGGCTTTTTGCATAGCTCCCATGTTTAAATCTGCAATGTTTTAATAAGTACCATCTTTTGTCACAAGCAAATGAGCAATACTTACATTTTCATCTCATCCTGGTTGGCCTTGCTTTGATCTTTCTGCAATCTACAGTTACAAAAATATACATTAGATTACTAGCTGACAAAACACATTTACATAATTTGATCTGTTATCTCCAAATTTCCCACAAACAGCTATTGTTAATCAAAAGAATTAGAGAGCTACAGTTAATTATTTAGCTTTCATTCTAATTAACTGAAAATTCACTTGCTAAGACTGATGAGCACGAGGTTGCATATCTTTAAAAACTGCCAACTAACATGAATTCGTATTTCCGAAGGGGCAAATCTCAATGTATTCTAGTCAGTTAATACTTTACTTACAAGAAAGAAAAAAAAACGTTAAAAACAGCTCAGGTTATGTTATGCTAAACATCTGACGACACATAACCACCACTAAAAAAATAATCAGTTTACTCAAAAGATAACGCGGATGACTCATCGAATACAGCATCAATATTAAACTTTATACGTGACGACCTCATAAAGCATGTTTTCACGTACAGTAACTGTAACGAATTATATAGATGAAATGCGGCGGCCGTGATCGGTTATACGTGGCATAAATGAATACGCTAACACAGGCAAAACTTACATTAACTTTTTTTTACATAATATATAATCTATCAGGATCCTATTACGTACGTCTTTGCACTTTTCACGTCTTAGAACTGTTAATAAATGTGGCAATGGCGGTTGCGATTGACCGGAACAATAACATGATCCTAACGTCAGACACAGCTTAATCTTACATGTGGTTTTCTTGCTAACGGTTACATACTTTGTTTATTAAAGTAAAACAATGTGGACTGTTTGAGACAAAAGTATGAAATCGTACTCACAGTGATCAGCAGCCATTAGAAAATGCGCGCTCACGCTGTATTCACCAGTGACGTCAGTCCAAAGACAAAGAGCCAATCACATTTCCCCTTGCACATCACTCCTTTACCAATAGACTAAAATAAGCTTTGTTAAGTACATTCAATTTAAACATTCCAGTAGAATCAAAAATATCATGCAAATCGTACAATAAACTAAACAAAATGGATAACTAAGCAAAAAAGTTGGTTTTTATGTTTATTGAATCTAAGTATTTTGAATTAATACAACTTTAGGGATAACAGTGCCCCCTATGCCCTATTCCTTTCAAACATTCCACTTAAAAATGTTTAAAAAAACATTAAAGTCATCTCTCTTATGTGTAATTTGCTTTCAAAGTATTTTATACAGTTCAGTTTTAGCAATCTTGACAATAGCATTCCCTTTATAGAGGCGCAGCCGTGTTTGTGAAGAAAGCATAGGTCACCTATGGACAGTGGAATCTACATTATGTCTACAAAGCTTGTAAAAAAGAAAAAAATATAGGGTATGTTCGTTCATTCATTAATTTTCTAATTTTCGCCTTAACCCTTCTATTAATCTGGGGTCGCCACAGTGGAATGAACCGCCAACTTATCCAGCATATGTTTTACTCAGTGGATGCCCTTCCAGCTCCAACCCACCACTGGGAAACATGGATACACACAACCATACTCATTCACACACATGCACTACAGACACTTTAGCTTACCCAATTCACCTATACCACATGATTTTGGGCTTGTGTGGGAAACCTACACCATCATGGCTAGAACATTCAAAGTATACACAGAAATGCCAACTGACCCAGCCACGGCTCAAACCAGCGACTCTCTTGCTGTGAGGCGATTTTGCTACCCACTGCGCCACCGTTCTGCCGTATAGGGTATGTTAAGGGTTTTAATTTATAGTAGCCTAGGCTATTTATTAGGAAAGGTATATGTACTGTATATGACATGGTTTGTAACATTTAAAAACAAAACAATAGATTACTTAAAAAATAAGTGGGATATGTTTTTTTTATTTCTTAATAAATAGCTTATAAATTAAAACCATTAACACGATGACTTACATATGAGATTAGAATACGTGTAAGATTTTTGTAAGTGATTTTATGTTTTAGTATAGAATATGCAATGTTCATAATATTTGTAAAGGAAACATAGTAATTTTATGTGCCTCATATATGCTGTTTATTATCATTAATAGCTAATATACTAGCTAATTAAACAAATTAATTATTAATAAACATTATGTGCTGTGATTTGTGAATCGTCTCCACATCACCAGCGTCACGCCCCTACAAGCACAAACTTTTGCGGTGTGTAAATACTGTCAATTAGAGTAGCTGTCAGCCATATCAGTTTGTGCCTGAATCCGACAGAAAATCCCACAGAAGACACAGCTCATGCGTGATCTCTAAAATAACATCTGACAAGTGTCTTTCACGTATTCTGCTTTCACATATTTTTGCGAGTTTGTTATTTGAGATGTAGAGTGATGTTTTGTAAATAAATTTCAGGAGGAGCACGCACAGAAGTGTCAGTATCGAATACGTCATTGACAGTTTTTCTATTATTAAATCAGTTTTTGAACAAACCCCTACTGTATATATACACCAAAGTTGTCTTACTGGGGGGGTTGGCGTTCTAGGGCTGGGCTAGGTACTTTGCTCGAATCTCAACTCCTCTTTGTTTCCTTATAAGGGGAATAACTCGAGTTGGGGTGTCTCCCTGAGCTTTGAGCCCTCTCCCCGGACAGCACGCCAAATACGCCTTATACTTAAACGATTGCAAGTGTGAACTCGTGAAATGCAAGGAAAACGGACGCATAGAAAGACGCTGCAGCGCTTATGAAGATTGTGGGTGTTTACAGCGGTTTCACTGATAAATATGAAGTTGTAGCTAAATTGTTAATGGTGCCAAACAGCATTTCCCATTGTTTACATCCTTGTTTATGTCCTTGCTACCAAATACCGTTAACGCTAGAAACTTTGCATGTTATTGATCAATTTTAACAAATAAAATACTCCCAGGTTGTGGCTCACAATCAACAGCTTCTGCTCTTATGGTTGGAGCTGCTACTTTAAGGAGTTTTTAGTCAAATCCAGTACTGAACTGGGATTGATTCTGGAAGCTCTCCTTTGTCAAATGCTAGCTATATATTTTTTATAATTATCTGGAACATAATGAAAATTAAACTGTAAGCACTTCTCTCTTTGTGTCGTGTCCTTTGGAAGCCCAAATACAGAAACAGAATGAGCTCTGTGGAAATAGCAGCATTTGGAGGGCATTTTAGCTTTCTCTGCTATATCATTACAGTGCCTCTGGCCATGGCCCTTTCGCTGTGCAAGGTGTATTCATGAGGTGAATGAATGTAACCTGAAGCGTTTGGGATCTCACTAGCCCAAACGTATTTTTTTTGTTGACCTAAAACTTCATTTGCTGTAGGCTTTGCTAAGCTAACTCTGTAAAAGGCAATTTCTCCCTTTGCGTTGAACTGTGAGCATATTACATTCAGAGATGTTGTTTATGTTCAAAATATGATATCGTTGTCAAAGAGCTTAGAATGACCAAGAGGCGACACACAATAGAACGTTCCACTGCAACAGCAGCACCCAGCAACAGCCCCGGATTCCACCATTTTGGAGTGAAAGTGATCGGCTGTCCATTGGATCTCATTACTGTTGCGATGGCAACAGTAAAAAAGCACATTAAAGCCAAGATACAACCTGAAAGACGACAATACAACATTTATTATAATCATCAGCACTTTTAATAGTTTATTTTACAGGCTCATAATATGCTGTTGTTCTATTGGAGTTTTCATTCCAAAATGGCCGCCGCGCCCTCTAGTGGCTGTTTCCCAAATTACACTAGAGTGTCGCCTCTTGGTCATTCTAAGCTCTAGTAGATTGAGATTAAATAGATACATAGTTGCTGCTAAATACTGAATTAATGATTTACTTAAATGATTTAATATTGATGTCAAAGGTTTGCTGTTCTTTTTTTACCAGACATAATCATAATCAATCTGTTATTACATTTTTTTACATTATATTATTACTATTTTTATTAATATTTACATTAAACATTTTACATAAGATACTAAATATTACAAACTGCAGTTCCATAGAATTGGTATGTATTTCTAAAAATCATTTATATTCATCAAAAAGTAAAATAAGTCAATCACTTAATCTTTTTTCTGGCATTTTTGCAGTATTATGTGATACTACTTATTACAATAAACTGTTATTTTATGCATATCATAACATTCACTCTTTATTTATTTATAAATTGTTTGGAATACATGCCTCTTCTGATTATTGATTAATTAATTCTGATTCTGATTAATTCATTAAAGCTATCTGTTGGGCATTCGCAGATGCCCAGCGTTTTGTAATATATAACACATCAACTTAATGGTCCACCAGGCCTTCAGTAACAAAGATTTGTAAGATTTTAAAAATGACATTCAGTAGATCATATACACCTTGCAATAAATATATCTTTAGTACACACAGACAGTAAAAACTTTTTGTTTGCGCACTGCATCAGTGTTGACACAAAAAAAAGCAGATGGACTGGTGCTTATCAGATTCTGCTAGAACAAAGCTGTGAAACACAAAAGCATTATGTTACTCCTACTGTATTTTATTACCTTATTCAGATGAAGCGTCTATCTATGGGAATCTGACAGTGTGAGGGACTGTTATTATGGCCTGGCTTTCTGTAATTTGCATATCAATTCTTGTGGTGTCTTGCAATTCTAGATGGATAATAGCAGGATACATGAGATCATGACAGTTAATTTTATTATCTCATAACACCGCAGTAGTCATTGCTTCTTTGAAACAAATTCCATTACAAAACAATGAGTTCCTCCTTTTAAAAGTAATATCTTACAAACGTTACATATTAAAAGTTACTAAATGTGTTAGTAACTTATTAAGGGAAGTGATGCCTACTGTTACTTTTTGAATCTTGCATGGGCTTGCTGATAATACAGTTGAAGTCAGAATTATTAGCCTCCCTGTTTATTTTTTCCCCAATTTCTGTTTAACAGAGAGATTTTTTTAACACATTTCTGAACATAATAGTTTTAATAACTCATTTTTAATAACGGATTTCTTTTATCTTTGCCATGATGACGGTAAATAATATTTTACTAGATATTTTTCAAGACACTTCTATACAGCTTAAAGTGACTTTTAAATGCTTAACTAGGTTAATTAGGTTAAAATATAAAATATATAGCTTAATAATTTTTAATAATATTTTAATAATATAGGCTAAAAATTTTGACTTTAAAAATTTGTTAAAAAAAATTAAAAACTGCTTTTATTATAGCCGAAATAAAACAAATAAGACTTTCTCAAGAAGAAAAAATATCAGACATACGGTGAAAATTTCCTTGCTTTGTTAAACATAATTTGGGAAATATTTAAAAAAGAACAAAAAATTCAAAGTGGGTCTAATAATTCTGACTTCAACTGTATATGTTCTATTTTTGTTTATTGTTATAATAATATTTTTATTATTATTCCTTTTTTATCAGTGTTTTGTCCTGCCATTTTGTTTATTATCTGTGTATTCGCTGCCATTCTGTTCCACTGCCACAAAAAAAATAAAAATAAAATTTTGGTATGCGTAAACATACCTGGCAATAAAACTCATTGGGATTCTGATTCTGATTAAACACAGTTCCCATAAGGAATATTTTGGCAGAGCTTGAGCTTCCAAACTAATTTAAAGTTTACCACTGTAAGATTTTATGGCCATGTGAACATAAATTAAAGCAAGTGCCTATGACTTGATATTTACTGCAGTGATAAATATTTATATATCTTGTCTTGTTATAAGTTTAACAGTTCTTATATAACCCTAACTCTTTTAACCCTAACTGTTTTTTCCAAGTTGGAAGATGTCACATGAAAGAATTCTATTTTAAATAATTACTAATTCAAATTAAAAAAAGAAATTCTAGTAACATCTTTTAGCCATACTATAGTAAATTGTGTTTACTAATATATATATATATATATATATATATATATATATATATATGTGTGTGTGTGTGTGTGTGTGTGTGTGTGTGTGTGTGTGTGTGTGTGTGTGTGTGTGTGTGAGCAAAGTCACATGAGTAGCAGTGCGATATGGCTGTATATCTGCACTGCTGGGAGGCATGCATTGGGTCAAGGCCGTAGGCCGAGTGCCTTAGTGCCCTAGCAGTGCCGACATACAGCCATATCACACTGCTACTCGTGTGATATTGCTTTTATACAACAGTTTGACAGCATAATCAAGTATATAAAAAGGAAAATTAAACACAGAGTCTCAAAAACCCTTTGCATGAGGAACTAATTTCTTGCGCCATTCACATCTGCAGCTGAAACAACAGAAACCGTTGCTAATTCACCTAAGTCACTTTAGAACTAGTATTTGAATGATTCTCTAGCGTAATGTCTAAAGTGATGACAAAACAGGTGATTTTGCTCACATTATTAGATTATAAAGCTGAACGGCATGAAATGCCATCAGTCTACAGAGATTTCCAAGTATTTCTCTGTTGCAATCAGGACTTAACAAATCAGGTGTCCAAACTCGGTACTGGAGGGCTGGTGTCCTGCAGATTTTTAGCTCCAAGTTGCCTTAACACACCTGCAAGGGTGTTTTTAGAAAGCCCAGCAAGAGCTTGATTAGCTAGCCCAGGTGTGTCTGATTGGGGTTGTAGCTAAACTTTGCAGAACACCAGCCCTCCAGGACCGAGTTTGGACATGCCTTACCTAAAGCAAAGCAAACACTATTAGATATGGTATAAATACAGCGCTACAAAATACAAGAGAGCGATCAACTTAGAATGTCACCTACCTGTTCCATAATCATTTATTCAGCCGTAGTTTAAAATTTGATGGCCACCTAAGTGCTGAATCTCTGAAATTGTGCAAACATTTTCAAATAGGCACTATTCCTTATAATAAACTTCATAGTTGTAATCTAAACAACTACATTCTCACCTCAAAAGTACCTTAAGTTGTTCAACAGCTGCAATATTTGTCAAACTGTAATTGAACTGTAGTGAGTTTATTCCTCTGCTTGTCACTCTGTGTGGGCGGAGTAATACGCAAAGGGTGAAGTCCCTGTCTACGATTCGCAAAGAGAAACAGCGAATAACATTACTTTTCCAGGGTTGCATAACCGTGATAGGCCATCATATGCTCTAGGGCACAGGTGTCAAACTCAGTTCCAAAAGGGCCGCAGCTCTGCACAGTTTAGTTCCAACCCTAATCAAACACACCTGATCAAACTAATTGAGTCCTTCAGGCTTGTTTGAAACCTACAGGTAAGTGTGTTGGAGCACGGTTGGAACTAAAATGTGCAGGGTTTAGGCCCTCCAGGAATTAAGTTTGTCACCCCTGCTCTAGGGTATTTGCATCGAGCGATCTAACTGGCATCTGTTTGATGATTTAAAGATCACTCAAAGTTCTTGTGAATCTTTGACGCTGACATAGGAACAATAACATTTTAAAAATCACTTTAAATAATCCGAATACAGTTTTAGTGAAAATCGATTTGGTTTGAACGCGGAAAATGTCTCGAAAAACACTGCCGATAAACGCAAACGAAAAGTGTACCGGAGTGTATGAGCCTTTACTGCATTAAAAAGTAGACACTTCAAGCTTTCTTTGGATATATGTCTCATGTCTGTGTGTTCGTTTTTGCAGAGTTTCGGTTTATTTTATTGATGCATTTCAAAAAACAATTTGCTGAGAGACAAAATAAAGAACTTGCACACTGTTTATTTTCCTTTGTTTACAAAAGCCCACATTTTGTTGTTATTGTGAGTGTACACAAAAAGTAGACACCTAACACATTCGAATGGTGTATAACAGTTATTTCTGTGATTAAAATCAATTTGTGAGTATTCTTAAGCATGGTTTATACTTCTGCGTCAAGTGATCGTCGTGACCCATGGCGCATGCAATGCGTGTAGCTGTGCATTCATACTTCTGCACGCTGTTTCTGTTGCTCTGCAATGACACTTTCGAAATGCCAGCATGATCTCACAAGGAAACGTAAGCATTTTACGTTTTGGCAGTTTAGAGGCTGATTCGTACAAATTCGTACGAGTTCAGTCGTACGAAATTGTAAGATTTTAAAAAGAAGGTGTGGGACCTAGCCCCACCCCTAAATCCAACCGTCATTGGGGGATGAGCAAATCGTTCTAAAATGTACAAATTAGATCGTATGAATTCGTATAAATTAGCCACTAAATGAACAAGTTACGAATTGCCGGGAGAGTGTGTTGGAAATGCTAGTTGGCAGTGAGGTGTTTCTCTGTCGAGTTTCTTCGCTGGTGTTTTGTTTTTTTCTGAACACTTCTTTAGTGTACAGTGGTTCGAACTCACTCATTTTGAGGCAAGAACCAGCCGACGTGCAAGAAGTTTAACTATGAGGTAAACACAAAACAAAACTTTCCATCTGGAGCTCCTTCACGGACTCCACACTGGTAAACAAATCGCTCCATCGGGATTGCGCGGCTCTCAGTCACGTCCACACTTGTCAGCGCTACAGAGCTGACCAATCACAGAGTTTGGGCTTTGTGTCGTTGCGACATGTTGTTACATTTTTTGAGAGTAGCGTGTCAGCGTCGCCGACGGCGAGGGCTATGCATCCACACGTAGGCCGTGCCGTAGTATACATGTGCGCTTGATGCAGAAGTATAAATCAACCTTTAGTGTCTTTTTCACCCGGCATGACCTGGCATCCTTGGAGGCTTAATAAAACACAAACTGAGTGAGTGAATAAGTATTCAGTATGATAATGTACGCATAAAACGTCTGTCCACTCTGTGATCATATATGCAAAGGGAAGTTATTCCAAGAAAAAATTCTAATGAATCGATTTTCTCCATGTGTCACCTTATTCAAGATATTTAGTGATTTTTTCTATTTTTCTGTTTTTTGCAGGATTGTTACAGCACTGGCCTGGCTCTCAATGCACAAACCCCTCCTCCGCCCGACCCCAGTGCCCCCTCACGCTGCTATGCCCCTCGCCCCATCCCCAGAGCACATCCAGAGAAAGGACTGCCTGTCCCAGTAGGAATGCCTGTTCGGGCCTGGCACCTGCCTTTGCCCACGGCTGCTCCCACACCTTTCGCCATTCCACCCCCCCACCACCTCTCGCAGGCTGCTCCATCATGAACGATGAGGTCATCAGCACTAACGCACTGGCCTGGCTGGTCTGCTCAGGAGTGTCCATCCTGGCCAATGCCTGGGGGATCCTGAGCGTGAGCGCGAAACAGAAGAAGTGGAAGCCCCTCGAGTTCCTCATATGCACACTGGCTGGCACGCACATTCTCAATATGGGCATCCCCATCACCATGTACTGCGTCATTCAGCTTCGCAGGCAACATTCCAACTATGAGTGGAACGAAGGACTCTGCAAAGTCTTTGTCTCCACCTTCTACACCCTTACCCTGGTCACCTGCTTTTCAGTCACTTCCTTGTCCTACCACCGCATGTGGATGGTCCGCTGGCCTGTCAACTATAGGTAAGAGTAAGACACTTGAGTTAACCTTCATTGACATATAAAAATATAGTGGGAAATGGTTATATATATATATATATATATATATATATATATATATATATATATATATATATATATATATATATAAAAAAAAATGTATTAATGGCTCGTTCCAGAATTGCCAAAAGTTGATTTGTTTTTATTAAACTGGAATGACATTCAAATAATATATATGATTGGTAGTAAACCGAATCCATTATTAGTGTAAAGTAATGCAAAATGATTTTGATTTTGTTACTAATAGTTGTCTCAGCAGGGTTTTTTCACACCTCTAATGTGAAAAATGTCAGGAAAGTGAGTGAGTCCAGCTTTGTTTAGGTGGGAGTGTCGAATGTTTAAAGGCTGATTTATACTTCTGCGTCAAACGCCGGCGTATGCTACAGCGCAGACGCACATCCCTTCGCCGTGGCCGTCGTCGTCACTGACGTGGACCTCTCAAAAATGACGAGTCTGGGCGGGACAGAGAGCCGCGCGAATGGCGTGAGCTGGACGCGAGTCCAATGGAGCGATTGTTTACAAGTGTGGAGTCCCGTGAAGGAGCTCCGGATGGAAAGTTTTGTTTTGTGTTTACCTCATAGTTAAAATTGTTGCACGTCCGCCAGTTCCTGCCTCAAAATGAGCGAGTTTGAGCTACTTGTACATCCAGGAAGTGTTCAGGAAAAGCAAAACAGCAGAGAAGAAACTCGACACAGAGGAACATTTACACCTCAGATCAACGGAGACAGCGCGCAGAAGTATAAATGCACAGCTACGCGCGTTGCATGTACTGTGGGTCACGCCGGTCACTTGATGCAGAAGTATAAACCAGGCTTAAAGAGGGAAAGGTAGAGCTGTAATCAGGCCATAAATGTTAGAGCCGATAGGGCCCGAGCCCGACAGATTTCAGCCTGAGCCTAACAAGTACATTTAGATAGCTTTTTAAATCCACCAATATGTTTATAGCCCGACATTATTCAAATGTGCACATGCACACAGCTCTTTTGCCTTTTTTCATAAATGAGTCGTTTATATGTGTTTTAACATAATTTATTAGTAACAAACTAGAGCTGCACAATTAATCATTAAAAGATCGCGATCTCGATTCGACCCCCTAGACGAGGGGTCACTAATCCTGGTCCTGGATGGCCGGTGTCCCTGCAGGGTTTAGCTCCAACTTGCCTCAACACACCTGCCTGGATGTTTCAAGTATACCTAGTAAGACCTTGATTAGCTTGTTCAGGTGTGTTTGATTAGGGTTGGAGCTAAAATCTGCAGGACACCGGCCCTCCAGGAACAAGTTTGGTGACCACTGCCCTAGACGATCTTAATCCAGCATTTCTACGATTCTGCCATTCATATTTTTAAATTCAGGAGAGAAGAAAAGGCGGCTGCACGAGTCTTTTCATTGTTTCACAAACGTTGCTCAGTGACATGGACACCCCCAAATGATGTTGAATGAGTCACATACTGTATTTCTAAGGTATAATTCACCTAAAAATGTCATTTTTTGTCTTCATATAATGATGTTTTCGCGATCGGGAAATCACACGTTACGTGAACTGTTATCACAGAGAGGGCGTCTACTTTAGTGAACAGAACCTGCATATGTTGCGAGTAACAGGTAATACAGTTGTAAGTAATATTCTGTTTGTGGCACAGAGTGATCGTTTGGGAGCCGTGCGCGTAGTATGAACCGCACTTAGCAGTCAAAATGAAACCGAAAGTGTGCACTTAATTTAAATAATTATATCGCATTTTATGTTATGATTACGACAAGCATTTGATATGTTTTTCCTTTCATAGCGAACCCACAGTTGTGCATGAAAATAAATGTTTACAATGTCAGTGTAACTGCTCTAGCCTATATATTGTTGAATATAATCTTATAATGGCAAATGTCTGATTTACCAGTGAATAAAATAGTCTAATATGACAGATTGCAAGCATATATCTCAAACATAATAATTCAACATCAGAATTATTATAAGTAGAATAGAATTATTTATAGAAACCAGTAGACCTACACATAATATTATTATTGAGGTTGTGCCATATGTTTGTTTCTGCCATAGCCTACCTTTATTTTACATCTACAGAATCGTGAGAAAATCGTGATCTTTATTTTAAGCAAACAAAATTGTGATTCTCATTTTAGCCAAAATCGTGCAGCTCTATAACAAACGTAGGCTATAGGCCATTTGGAAGTTGGAACAAAGAAATAAAATAAGTCCTCTGTAACATCGTAACATCTCAGTACTCTAAATAGGCTTGGGTACATACACTTAGCCTTTAAATTGGCCAGCACACCAATAAAAATAAGCCTTCCCTAACAAATTAAATTAAAATAAATTATGATGGGTATTTGGCAATAACGAGATTAAGATAAAGGCTCTGCAGGATTTGTTTCGCTACTTCTCTTCACAATCTGGCGTTAAGGCAAAGGTGAAGCTGAATAATAAAATAATAATGTCAACATTAGCCTGTATACTCTGACTGCATTATGATTTTAAGGTTTAATTCATTCATTCATTTTCTTTTCGGCCTAGTCCCTCTATTAATCTGGGGTCACCACAGCGGAATGAACCGCCAACTTATCCAGCATATGTTTTTACACAGCCGATGCCCTTCCAGCCGCAACTCATCACTGGGAAACAATCACACACATACATTATGGACACATTAGCTTACCCAATTCACCTGTACCGCATGTCTTTGGACTTGTGGGGGAAACCGGAGCACCCGGAGGAAACCCACGCGAACACGGGGAGAACATGCAAACTCCACACAGAAATGCCAACTGACCCAGCCGAGGCTCGAACCCACACCACCGGCACGCCTCTTTTTTGGATTTTTTTTACTGTGTAAATGGCAATATTTTTCATTTTATGGGTGATTTATCCCTTTCATAGTATTAACCAACTGACAAAATAACGCAAAAACAACCAATATTCACTTTTTTGTGAAATATATGTGTCTTAATTGTGTTTTTAGCAGTGTGGAACACATATATGACTGTCAAACTCTCAAAAAAAATGTGTTTTGGTGTTTTGTGACCCTTTAAGTTAACATTTTCCAAACAAAACGTCCCTAAAAACACACAAACATGTTTAGATGACTTTGTATTATTATTCAAACCTATTTTAATATAGGTTTTGTTGTATCTTGAAGACATTAAATGTACCCACAATTCTAGAATCACCAATTTTTTTTTTTTTTTTGTGAAAGATGAAAAATATGTAATTAATGGGTACTGAATGAAAATGAAAAGTTGAACTGAATATTATCTTGGTGCTGAATGAATATTCCAGTCTAAGCACTAAATAGTTAAATACTTGCAGTGGACGATTTTTATTGGTTGTTTCATTTGACGCCATGGAAATAAACCTATAACAAACATGAAATATCATTTAAATATTGAAATTAAATCTTCAGTATGCTGGATTATATGGTTTTTGACATTTAGTTTCTAATGTCTGTCAGTATGGCTTAAACTCAGGCGTTTATAAATACATGGAGAGACAAAAAGTCATCTAGGGACACGTCCCAGGGCGTCTCATGCCTATGCATGTGGACATCTAAAGGTGCCCAAGCCAGCAAAACCAAAAACATTATATGGACATTCCTTCAAGATGTGTATTTCTCATTCAGAAGGGAATGATGTTATTAAATAATAGATGTTTTAAATGATATATTAATATATATTTGGATTATTATGTGTCTTTATTTACTTTAAACGATTTCCCCCTCCAGGCCACTGTTAACTGCAAATTTTCTTCGAGCAAATGTGGCTTTGTTTTCTAGAAGGAAAAATATGAATCTCTATTCCACATATTAGTATGTTAACATTTATCATGAAAGCATGTATATATACTCACTGGCCACTTTATTAGGTACTCCGTACTAGTACAAGGTTGGACCCCCTTTTGCCTTTAGAACGACCTTAATCCATTGTGCCTTAATCCTCTGTGGCAAAGTAACAAGGTACTGGAAATATTCCTCAGAGAATTTGGTCCATATTGACATGATAGCATTACATTGTTGCTGCAGATTTATCAGCTGCACATCCATGATGTGAATCTTTCGTTCCACCACATCTCAAAGGTGCTCTATTGGATTGAAAACTGGTGACTGTGGAGGCCATTTGAGTACAGTGAACTCATTGTCATGTTCAAGAAACCAGTCTTCAGCGTTATCCTGCTGAAAGTAGCCATCAGAAGATGGGTACACTGTGGTCATAAAGGGATGGACATAGCAACAATACTCAGGTAGGCTGTGGCGTTGCTCAATTGGTACTAAATGGCACAAAGTGGGCCAAGAAAATATCCCCCATACCATTACACCACCACCAACACCCTAAACCATTGATACAAATCAGGATGAATCCATGCTTTCATGGTGTTGATGGCAAATTCTGACCCTACCATGTGAATGTCGCAGCACAAATAGAGACTCAACAGACCAGACAACGTTTTCCTATCTTTTATTGTTTAATTTTGGTGAGCCTGTGCGAATTGTAGTCTCAATTTTCTGTTCTACGCTGACAGGAGTGGCACCTGGTGTGGTCTTCTGCTGCTTTAGCCTGTTCGCTTCTAGGTTGGACGTGTTCTGCATTTAAAGATGCTCTTCTGCATACCTTGGTTGTAACGAGTGGTTATTTGAGTTAGTATTGCTTTTCTATCAGCTCCAACCAGTCTGGCCATTCTCCTCTGACCTCTGGCATCAACAAGGGATTTGCGGCCACAGAACTGCCGCTCACTGGATAATTTCTCTTTTCTCTTTCTCTGAGATGGTTGTGCGTGAAAATACCAGTAGCTAAGAGGTTTCTGAAATACTCAGACTAGCCTTTCTGGCAGCAACAAGCCATGCCACGTTCAAAGTTAGGATATCCAGATCTGATCACGTGATCAGAAATTGAACCCAGTCATTCAGTTTCAGACTCAATCAGACAACCTCCCAATCAGGACTCGCATATATATGAATAATAATATAATTCTCATTATTTTTTAAACACAGAGTAAGACCTCTTTCTTGACTTCACTCAGAGACAGCAACACATAGGGCATGACATCACTTTGTTGCAGAGACGCTATTGGTTAAATGCTGGCAAAGTAGAACACGGAAGTTTGAAGAGAAAAGCGCGAATATGTCTGTGGTCTTGAGGTATTGTAAAGTTGATGACAACAACATTGCCATAGGAAGGTGTATGATATGTAAACTCGGGATTGCAAGAGGTGGAAAGGAAAAGGCTACATTTAACAACAAACCTGATAAGGCACCTCAAAAACCGACACTCAACACAATAGAGAACGTTTACCCAGGCGACCCAACCGAAGACAAGTCAGCTCTATCTCCAGGAGTATAAGGAGGAGAGAAAAAAAATGCCCCCTGAGGCACCGGACATCACATCCAAGATTGCACAAATTATTTCATATGCTTCTGGAGCACGTAGAACCTCTATTTGAAATTTTTTTTTATGTATTATAGAAGTATTAGTTCTGGTTTTGGTATCGGTAGATACTCAAAATCAAATGATTTTGACTCTGACTCGAGGGTAAATAAACCTGATCGTTATATCAGTAGTTCAAAGTCACTTAAATCACCTTTCTTTCCTATTCTGATGCTCGGTTTGAACTGCAGCAGATTGTCTTGACCATGTCTACATGTCTAAATGCACTGAGTTGCTGCCATGTGATTGACTGATTAGAAATTTGCGTTAAAATGCAGTTGGTGAGTGTATTGTCCATTTTCTGCACCTGCTTTGTCAGCTTTTTACATTTTCCACCTCACTAGTACTCCCAAACATTGATTTAAGTGTACTCTCGTCATTGCAATTAATGCAAAGTTAGCGAAGCATTAGCAAACACTCTTAAAAAGCCTTTATCTGCAAATACTCCTGTAGTGCTTTGTGATGTGAGAGTGTTTGAGAACAGGACCGGCATACATAATAAAAAGATCTCTGATGTCTTTCCAAACAACAGAGGACTGAGATAAAGCATCTATGATTAAAGGAGAAATGACCTAAAATTGAATCATCGCCCAGATAGCTCCAAAAATGAACTGACTGTCTGTCTAGCAAATGCATCTGAAAGTCTATGCAGTGGCGCAGTGGGTAGCACTTTCGCCCCACAGCAAGAAGGTCGCTGGGTCGCTGGTTCGAGCCTTGGCTCAGTTGGCGTTTCTGTGTGGAGTTTGCATGTTCTCCCTGCATTTCCTCCGGGTGCTCCGGTTTCCCCCACAGTACAAAGACATGCGGTACAGGTGAATTGGGTAGGCTAAATTGTCCGTAGTGTGTGTGTGTGTGTGTGTGTGTGAATGACTGTGAGTGGATGTTTTACCAGAGATGGGTTGCGGCTGGAAGGGCATCCGTTGCGTAAAAACTTGCTGGACAAGTTGGCGGTTCATTCCGCAGTGGTGACCCCAGATTAATAAAGGGACTAAGCCGACAAGAAAATGAATGAATATATATATTGGTGACGTTGCAAGTGAGATTTTTTTTCAGAAGCTTAACAGTGAAACCCAACATGATTGCATCAACAAGGTGTTGTTGTTGTTTTATATAACAGATTTGACTGACATAATGAGTAAAATTCAGTAAACACAGCTGTGGACTGTATAATATCTCCCTGAAGCCAGCCATTTACACAAACTGATCAAAACCAAAGAAACCCAAAGGTAAAGAATGGCCAAAGTAGTTATGTTTACATCCATCTAAATCTGTTAAACATTATTAAACATTTAAATTATGTACAAAAAATCATTTAAAAATTAAAACAATTGAATAAAAAAAAACCTGCATTCTGTGACACAAATTTGTAAATTTATGTTGCATTTGGTTTAGTTTAGTAATGCTGAAGGCAGAATGATTTGTATACTATCATTAATCATTTGTTATGATTAATATACAATTGAAGTCAGAATTATTAGCCCCCCTCAATTATTATGGAGAGATGAAGATTGTTTCAACACATTTTTCAACATAATAGTTTTAATAACTCAAATTCTAATAACTGATTTATTTTATCTTTGCCATGATGACAGTAAATAATATTTGACTGAATATTTTTCAGACACTTCTATACAGCTTAAAGTGACATTTATAGGCTTAACTAGGTTAATAAGGTTAATTAGGCAGATTAGGGTAACTGGGCAAGTTATTGTATAACGATGGTTTGTTCTATAGACTACCGAAAAAGTGTAAAGGGGCTAATAATTTTGTCCTTAAAATGGTGTTTAAAAAATTAAAACATGCTTTTATTCTAGCCGAAATGAAACAAATAAGACTTTCTCCAGAAGAAAAAAATATTATCAGGCATACTGTGAAAATTTCTTTGCTCTGTTAAACTTCATTTGGGAAATATTTGAAAGAGAAAAAAAAAATCAAAGGGGGGCTAATAATTCTGACTTTTACTGTATATATATTATCACAAAATGAGTAACTGCTGTGAGTAACCAGCTAAATGTTTGATAAATGATTCAGAGGACGTCCCAAGGATGCACACCCTATATGTATATTTCTAGGCTTTTAACTACATTGTTTGCATAATCATAGGAAATCAGTTTGCAGTGTAACTGGTTGCCATGACAACTTTGCACACTTGCTGATCCCATTAGACATGGTATTCATGGAGTTTGTTTTCATTCACTTCACAGAGACTCCTTTATTGAGATGGGATTTTGGTTGTTTTCCTCCCCTCAAATACCTAGATATCACCTGGCTCAGTTATCCAGACAGACAAGGACTATGTCCATCTAATGATACCTTTTATTATTCATCTATACTATTCATTTCGGAATCCTTATCCATGGACAGTAAATAAATGCCTCCTTTGCTTTGAAAACAACAGATTCAGTTCAGTTCTCAGATCTGTTCTCATTACTGCATCTTGCTTTGTCATAGAAGGCTTTAAAGAGATATGATAGACCTTTTTTCACATTTTTGCCACCTCATTTTAAGGTGCTTTCAATTATCCTTTTCATCACATCATTCCATACTTCATATGCTTCATGCCTGTGAACTAAGCTTAATAGTTTAATATAAAATTGTGAATGAACTTGACTGTTGATGTCTTAAATATTAATGTCAAACAACCAACATTTCTCAAAATGGATATATTTAATTTTGCAACTAAACTCTTCATTTACAAAAAAAAAATAAAAAAAATTCAGTAGATTTGCTATGTGTAAGTTTAAAAATTTGCAGAGTTTTATAGTGTGCACTGACTCTCACAAAAGTATCTCCAGTAATTTTGTGTGATTAATAAATTTGAAATAAACTGCAAAAAAAAGTATGTAAACTTTCCTCTGATTCCTTCTTGAAACTCTTCCCTCCTAGTCACATACTGTACCTGTCTGATGGCTCATTATGCAGCTCATTATGCAGGTCTTTGTCTTCAGGTGTGACTCACTGCATAATAATGATAGTTCATGCCTTCTCGCATAAACCAATTTCACTTAAAAAGTGACTTAGAAATTTTAATTCATTATATTGTTTTCTGTGAGCAAGTTAACAAGATGATTCTTACATCATTTTGAAGCAAAAACACTAGACTACCAGATCCAGTTCTTAAAAGTCTTGTGCACAAATGTTCTCTGTGTGTTTCAAGGCCTTGTTTAAGTGACTTCAAAATTTTAGTTATTCACTAACCACGCATAAACGTTTCCTTCTCAAAAACACAAACACATACAAACATGCTGCTTAGGTATTATTGTAGCCCAACTTGTGCTGTTTAAAGTGTTATCACACTTTAGCCATTAATATGTTTTTAAGATACTGAAAACAACACAAATGTCAGTGCATGTCAAAACTTCTCCAGAGCCCCAAAACACCCTCAGACCCCAGAGGGTTAAACCTTAACCCCATGGTTTTAACTTAGAAACAGTTCATTCTTACTACCTAAATTAAACGTTATAACATATTATAGACTAAAAAGCACAATTTCATGAACGGAATAATTCTTGTAAATCCAGTTTTAAAAGATGGTGACTCTGAGGGAAAGAATACATTAGCATATATACATTTACATTAAACTTTCTATACCCATATTTACCAAGTAAATGAACAGATAAAATATTTGTTAATGATGACTGAGACTTCTGTTTCCTAAGAGTAAATTATTGAAAAAAATTACTTAGGACATGAGCTGTCTTTAAGATAATCAAATTCTTCTCATTTAATAAATGAGTGAAATATTTGGAATATAATTTTTTGTTTGTTTTCTAGACTTTAACCTTAATCTTCTTTCTGTTTTACCAGGTTGAGTAACACCAAAAAGCAGGCTGTCCATACGGTGATGGGGATCTGGATGGTGTCATTCATTCTGTCCACCTTGCCCGCTGTGGGCTGGCACGATACCACAGAGCGATTTTACACCCAAGATAACTGTCGCTTCATTGTGACTGAGATTGGCTTAGGCTTCGGTGTCTGCTTCCTGCTGCTGATCAGCGGGAGTGTGGTAATGGGTGTCATCTGCATCGGAATTGCCCTCTTTCAGACCTTTTCCATCCAGATGGGCCAAAATGTGGACAAGAACAAATTTAACGTGCCCACCATCGTAGTGGAGGATGCTCAGGGCAAGAGGCGCTCGTCAATTGATGGCTCAGAGCCCATAAAGACATCGCTGCAGATCACCTATCTGATCAGTGGAATAGTTTTCATATACGACTTTCTAACTGGATTCCCCATATTGGTGAGTTTGTTTTGATTTATAATTACATTGATGACAATAATTTCAATAATAATGCTTTCGTTAGTCATTCTTAACAACTTCTGTACATCAGACAGAGGTGGGTAGAGTATCCAAAATTAAAGGAATGGAAATATTTACTGAAGCGAAAGTAAAAGTTACAATTATTGGTTACTTGAGTAAGAGTAAAGAAGTGTCCAATTTTTTAAAAATGACTCAAGTAGTTACAGTAGTTAGTTCTTATCTGGGATGTGTTTTCCAAAACTATCGTTAGCCAACTAAGGTTGTATGTTCCGTTGTTCAGCACTTTGGTGTTTCTTAAATTCAACGTTAGAATGAAATTCCTAAACAGCGTGGCCATCTTGTGTGGTTGCAACTACACCTCTAGTGCTGTAGTTAGAAGTATTTATCCTGGCTGTGTTCTATTCTAAGTCATCGTTTGCCAACGAAGGTCGTAAGTTCTGTCGTTTAGCGAATTGGCGTTTCTTGAATCTGACGTTATAACAAAATTCCCAAACAGTGTCGCAATCTTGTGTGGTTGCAGCTACACCTCTAGAGCTGTAGTTTTCAGCATAGTTCCTGGCTGTGTTCTATTCCATGTCATCGTTGGTCAACTAAGGCAGTAAGTTCCATCATTTAGTGCTTTAGTGTTTCTTGAAGCCAATGTTCTAACAAAATCCCTAAATAGCGTCGCAATTTTGTGTGGTTGCAACTACACCTCTAGAGCTGTAGTTATAAGCATAGTTCCTGGCTGTGTTCTATTTCAAGTTATCTTTAGCCAACTAAGGCTGTAAGTTCTGTCGTTTAGTGATTTGGTGTTTCTTGAATACAACGCTATAGCAAAATTCCCAAACAGCATCGCAATCTTGTGTGGTTGCAACTTCACCTATAGAGCTGTAGTTAGAAGCATTGTTCCTGGTTGTTTTCTATTCCCAGTTATTCCTCTATGCCCTATTCCTTTCGAACATTTCAACATTTAAACTGAGAATGATTTAAAAAAATATATTAAAGTCATCAGGTGTAATTTGCTTATATACTATTTTTTTACAATTCAGTTTTAGCTATCTTCATATTGACAATTGCGTCCCTTTTGCAGTGCGTTTTGAAAACACTTATGCCATTTTGAACACATCTGTGGCTCATGATGAAAGCTATAGGTGACTTATTATTTAAAAGCAGAATCTACGTTACGTCTCCAAGGCTTGTTGAAACAAAAATATGTAGCATACATTAACGGTTTTAGTTTATAGTAAACTATTTATTAAGAAATGTGTATGTACTGTATATGACATGGGCCTGCTGGGGCTCGAATGAAAAGTTAGTGAAGGATATGGAAAAGGTGGCCTGTTGCCTGAGAATTTGTATTCACCATCGTCTGTTTGCACATATAGTATGAAAATTTTAATTGCTGTTGAACCTAGAACATTTCTACAGTTATTTGAATGTGTCACATTGTAAAAGTAGACTTTTCAAAAAAAGAAAATAAATGAATAATCAATATCCAATTTAATTATTAATTATTATTATTATTATTAAGTAAAAAATTTTACTACTGTAAATTAACTGTATTAAGTAGGATTTCTTTGTCTACTGTATATTACAACCATTAACAATTTATATGATTTATAAATGACATTAGAATACATCATAGTTAAGTGGTTTTATGTTTTTGAATAAAATATGGAATATTCTCAATAATATTTGTAAAGGAAACATAGGCCCTATATGTGCCATTTACATATATTTTAATGTGGAAAATGAGTGCATGTTCTTACTAAAACTAATATTGGACTTTTTTTAAACGCCTGTGTGCATTTAAAACAATATAATTTGCACTCAAAATAATGGGTTTTTTTCTCTAAAGAAGTTGTTCCTCCATTCCGTTTAGAGTGACATTATGGACATTTTTGCGTTATAACTAACATGGTTCAATCGATAGATCTGCGACAGAGAAACTATGGTTTCCCAGCTAACACTTATCACTACATCGATATTTTTCCAAATGATGCATCGTACTTTGACAGTTTAACCACGAGTTATGTTGTTGTTTGGGAAAGCACCTCTGATTGACATTTGCGCTCCCTTCAAAGTGCACTTCAAAACCAGTTATGCCATTTTTAATTACAGCCATGGCTCGTGACTAAAGCTATAGGTGTCCTAATATGATTTGCTATTTTTTTTTTTTTAATCTATACATTAATGGTTTTAATTTACTGTATATTATTTTAAAAATGTATCTTCACATTAGGCTATGTGACATATACAACATTTCTGTGGTGTTTTGAGTTTGTCAAAGTTGTAAAAGTAAACCTTTCAAATAATAATAATAATAATAATAATAAAAGAATAGCCTACATAAAGAATAATAGTATTAGTCTATTTTTTGGTCTAAATGTAATGAAAAAATGTTTTTAACGTCATTATTTGACCATGTGTGATTTATATATGAGATGAGCCTACGTGTTGGCTATTGTAAGTGGTTTTATGTTTTGAAATAGAATAGGGAATATTGTCATATTGTTTCAATTAAGTGTGCAATAAAAAATGCATGTTTTAACCAAAACACATATTAAATTTATTAAATAAAAATAAAACATTAAAATATGTCCGCTTGTGCATGTAAAAGAATATATTTTTTTCTTTTTTAAATGCAGAGAAGTTGTTTCTCCACCTCGTTTAAAGCATAGTTACAGAAATTTTACATTTGAATTAATGTATCTGCGACATAGCAACTATGGTTTTGGGAAACACGTGTCAATTGTACATTTAAAATGGTGCATCGTACTATGATAATATTGACATAATAATTACACAATGACATAATAATCACATAACATTGTTGTCATTTGCAATAAAATCTAAAAAAAAAAAAGATTTTTTTCAGTTTAAACTGTTTTCACAACCCAAACATGTCAGAATCTGCATTTAATCTTGCTAACAGATAATTAAAGAGTATGAATTAGATTTTTGAACTTAAGTTAATAGAATTTATATATTTGTATTATATATTATATTTAACATAATGTGTTCAAATTAGGGTTGGGCGATGTCGACCAATTTGGCATCGTACGATATCTAATGTGAAACTTCGTGATGGACGATGGCATGATCGTCGTAGGCGGTGGTGAATTAATTATTTATGAATTTTTAATGAATTCATAACAAATTAATTATTTGTAGGCTACCGTTTCAACTACTTCACCCGCATTGTCTTTGTTTTACCCATAAACAAATCATAAATAAATAGATAATTGCACACAAATTACCACCTGTCAATCAATTTTTCCGCATGAGGTTGTTCTGTAAAAAAGGTGCACAACCAACAGTAATTGAGGTTTTCACTAAAATCACTAAGTACAAATGTGAAAGTCAAAGACTGAAGCAGTGTACTGATGCTATGACACGTTACCTGATAGATTCAAAAGACCGAAGACTCGTTAAATAGAGACAAGATTAATTAAATATTATGTTTAACAACTATATGAGAAGCGATCCAGCGGTACATCTTTGATAAACTGTCCGAGGTGCACTGCTCTCTTGAGCTCAGACGAGTGCATGACCGTGTGTGTGGCTGTGTGTGTGGTCACGTGATGTGCGTTTTCAGCGGACAGAGAGCTGTTTAGAAATGCTAGGTAAAACACGGTGTGTATGTGGATCATTTTTGTTCTAAAATGGCATTTAAAAACTAAGTATTAGTGTAAACGGGGGCTAACTGTGTATTTTTTGCGAGCGGGTTTGCGACAGGGGCGGGGCAGAAGATCGGCGATGCAGGCTCAGCATCGTGTTGTCTATTGGCCATTGGCGATGGATGATGGCATCTTCTATAGGCTCAAGCCTAGATCAAATGTTTTCAAATATTGAATTTTAAAATATGTTTTAATGCTAAACGTGGTATATTAATATGTGCTGGGCAGTTCTTTTAGAAAAGGATTTTATTACATGAAACATTAGTATTAAAATAAAAGATAATACTGTTTTTATTTTGTAGGTATTAGTGCTGCATGATTAATCATATTGCAATCGCGATGTCAGCCTATGCGATTACATTACAGCAAATCTTGCAATTAAATTAAATAAACAAATGCATTTGTGGACGTAACAAGACATTCATTCTAAGTCTCGTGTAACGCGTGTGCTTATGGTCACGTGACTTTCGTTGCGCAGTGTGGAGACGGGAGAAAATGGATACAGAACAGACCGACACTGAACTTGTGCCCAGGAAAAATGCTACCTCTGTTATTTGGCTACTGAACAAAACTAAAATTGCTACATCACGTGGCAACACGACAAATTTATATCAGCACATGAAGACAGAGATAAAAGCCAAGAGTAGTAATGTAAAAATATTTTTAAAAATGGGTATTTGTATTATTTATCTGTACGTTTGACTTAATTTTTAAAGTTTGAGTTAATTTAACATAATTTAATTCAGTAATGTAAAGATGTTACTGTTATTTAATTTTGTACAATTTAGTTTTAACTTGAAAATAACATTGTTCATTTCTAGTTGTTGCTAGATTGCACTGTATACTGTATCTCAGTTGAAAAATAAAAATTTCAGCATTATTAGTAATCTGTGTATGCATTTTTCTTGATAACAAGCAAGTTGAGTCATACCACTTGTTTATCGCATCGCAATCGTAAATCGCAATTTTGACCTTAATAAATCGCAGTGTAGGTATGTTCCTAAACTTTTGTGAGGTGTCCAAATATTTGTATAAATTAAAAACGTCAACTCATTTAGTTTTGTGGAAAATGGGTATGAAAATGTGCAGATGTTAAGAATAAACGTATAAAATGAAAATTTATATATGTAGGGTTCGATAAATGTTTCTCATTGTAAATGTAATTCGTTACTACCCACCTCTGATATCAGATTATAAACAACATAAGAAGTATGATTGGTGGTTTGTTGTGTTCTGATCACAATGCTTTTTTAGACAAGACTGGCTTGTGTTTGGTATGGGTTTTTTTTTTTGTTGAATGCTCTTGGTCGCCAGTAG